ACCTTTTTCTCCTCCCTGTGTGTATATATATATATATATATATATATATAGTGCACAGCATAAATGAGTCACCCCCTCTGAATAAATATAAAATATGTATTTTCTTAGTGATCACTAATATAATTCATGGAAAGATGGCAAAATTTAAACATATTAAACATATACTTAAAAAACAACAAAATATATGCCAATATTTTCTGTAAGATAAGTAAATTAGCCAATTTTGTTTAAATGAAGGATTGCAAAAATGAGTACACCTAGATTTAATTCAGAAAATGTATAATATTCTAGTACTTAGTATGTCCACCAGAACATAAAGTATACTGCTCCGACTCTTCTTGGCACTGAGTGTACAAGTTCATGACAAATTTTCACATCTGTCCTGTTTAACTCCTGGAGGACGACCTCCTTAAATGCTCTGATCTTTAATGAGGAGTGTTGCTCAGCTCGTCTCTACAGAATCCCCCACAGCAGCTCAAGAGTGTTAAGATTGAGTGAAATGCATGTCCACTGAAGGATTTTCACCTTGAATCCTGAATATATTCATTGTCATGCTGAAAAAATGCCCAATAAAGCAGAGAATGAGGGGAGGGTAGCATCTTCAGTTTCAGGTTTTTGTATTACATCACACAGTAGTGTGAATATTCATGCCAGCATTGGTAAAGCACAACTCCCTCACACCTTCAGCACTCATTCATCCCTTTATAAAAGCTTTACTACCACTGAATGCCACTGTGGGAACCAGGCACTTCTCTCTGTACTCCTCCTCTAGCAACACCAGAACATTTTGGTGTTCAAAAATGCAAAAATTCACTCATCACTAAATGAAAACTTAAAGTGAAGACCTGAGTATTTCAGGAGCCTTATCACAAGTCCATTGTTTTTGAATGTTGGTGCTACTTAGGCATTTTCACACTTAAAACACTAATTTGGTATTCCTCTTGTACAATTGTCCTCTTTTATGCTAAGAAATAAGTCTCCTGGAAGTTCTCTCCCAAGTGTTTCCACTGCTGCCAGCATTAAGTCTAAGTATGATTCAGTGGGCTATATAACACTTTTAATTGTCAGGAAATTACTTGTCTTTAAAAGTTTTGGTTCAATATACAGGTGCATCTCAATGAATTAGAATGTCGTGGAAAAGTTCATTTATTTCAGTAATTCAACTCAAATTGTGAAACTCATGTATTAAATAAATTCAATGCACACAGACTGAAGTAGTTTAAGTCTTTGGTTCTTTTAATTGTGATGATTTTGTCTCACATTTAACAAAAACCCACCAATTCACTATCTCAACAAATTAGAATACTTCATAAGACCAATAAAACATTTTTTTTAGTGAATTGTCCCACGATTTTTTAATTTATTGAGATGCCCCTGTACTTACCTGTTGATCAAAAATAGCCTTAAACCTATACACTTTTTTTTGTATTTTTATTTAGTAACTTTCAAGAGGGTGTACTCATTTTTGCAACAAAATTTTATCACTTTGATAAGAAAATCTAATTTTGCTGAATAATTTTTCACAGTTTAACGTGGAATGTCACAGAATTTGTCAAATTTTGAATAAATTAATCAAAAGTAGGTAATTACACTTAAATCAAATCATGATATGGACTAGTATCTGTAAACATTAAACCGCAAAAGTCGATTTAAATATGAATCCTGCATGTTCTGCCTGTCTCTGTTAATGAATGGCGCAGACGCGCGGTTTCATTTACTACACACATTCTGAAGCCCGCGTGACACTCGCGGTGATTTCAGCATCTGCCGTCTCACTAAAAGGACGTAAACACATGAACAACATCTACAGAACTGCTCTAAGAGTCACTTCATGAGCATTTTAGCGTTTGATTGGAGTAAAACTAGCGTCATATCTCATACACAGGACTGTAAAGGTATTCACGGCAACCCGTCAAAATAAAAGTCCGGTTTGATTGGAAGACATTGTGCCTATAACAATTTTTCAGTAGAATGTACATAACCTACTACTACTATTAAAATGAAACAAACATAATTTATTAAGGAATAATCACACAAAACATTTCTTCCATTTTTTTTTATTTTAATAGTAAATCCCCTTTGTTTGCCAAAAAAATATTGTTTGCTTAATTTTCAATAATTAAAAAATAAATGATTGCATGTTCTGCCTGTCTCTGTTAATGAATGGCGCAGACGCGCGGTTTCATTTACTACACACATTCTGAAGCCCGCGTGACACTCGCGGTGATTTCAGCATCTGCCGTCTCACTAAAAGGACGTAAACACATGAACAACATCTACAGAACTGCTCTAAGAGTCACTTCATGAGCATTTTAGCGTTTGATTGGAGTAAAACTAGCGTCATATCTCATACACAGGACTGTAAAGGTATTCACGGCAACCCGTCAAAATAAAAGTCCGGTTTGATTGGAAGACATTGTGCCTATAACAATTTTTCAGTAGAATGTACATAACCTACTACTACTATTAAAATGAAACAAACATAATTTATTAAGGAATAATCACACAAAACATTTCTTCCATTTTTTTTTATTTTAATAGTAAATCCCCTTTGTTTGCCAAAAAAATATTGTTTGCTTAATTTTCAATAATTAAAAAATAAATGATAAATTAAATTAATGTTTTATGCCTTCATATGATAACCAGAAAAATGTAAATACACAACACAGAATTTGTGAGGGAAAAATAATTCATAAGGCTTCTATAAGAAAAAAAATTAATAAATTAAGTTGTTTTATGCATTAAAATAATTAGACATGCTAAAACACAGAATTTGGTAACAATAAAATATATAAATAATATGGTGAGAACAAAATAAAACATTTCATAGGGTAAAAATGTATAAGTTTCATGATTTTAATTAATTAGACATGCTTTTTAATTAATACAATTTAATTTAATTAACTATCCCTCAGCCTTGCCTTGCTTTTTCCCTATATATTTCATCATTGAGGATTTCTTTAAAAAAGTCTAAAAATCTTGTCTCGTCTCGTTTTCGTGAACCCAGTCTCGTGTCTCGATATATATATATACACATACACACATATATATATTGTTGGTTGAATGAGAGGTTCTAAAAAAAAAAGTATCTTCATCTTAATCTCAAACATAAAACCAATATGAATAATCTACAGTGACAGGATGACTCCGTATAGGAAGCGAGCACACAGAGATTAGCACAAGCATTGTTCTCCTGGAACACAAGAGACAGAGAGCGAGTTAAAGTGAGTGTGAGAGAGAAAGAGAAACAAAAACCTCTTTCAATGAAGGCATACAGTGACCAGGTGCCATCAAGCTCCAAAAAGGGCACAATAAAGAAACAATATGACTTGTGCACTATATTATTTGGGTCTTTTATGGTAAATTAATAGAACACTGGTGGTACATTATTGTCCTTGCAAAAATGTAACAGCCTTTGTCAAATAACTTTTGCAGAATAAATAAAGTGATATGGTCAAAGTTAATTATATTATTTATAATTGCATTTATGGTCATTAATTTCTGAGTGAACTATTCCTCTAATAGAGAAAAACTAAAAAAAAAAAATTTTACAATAAGCCATCACATCGCAAGCCAAGCATTTTTCTGTCAGATCTGTGCCAGGGTCTAGGGCAAATATAATGCACAATAAAAGCCAAAAATGCACTGAAGCTTAAAAACAATCCAAGCACATTTAGACATGTGCATTTGCTTTAAGTGCTTCAAGCAAACGGCACGCCATTCAACTATTTTATAGATAGGTCTTTGATGTTTTGTGAGCAATGGAGAAGCCTGCGGCCTGATAATAATAAACATTAATAAACACTGATAAAACGAATAAACACTGTTTAACTTGCCGTTACATTTGTGAGTGGCAAAACTTCCCCTGAAGCCACAGCAGCAATGAGCGAAGACAACCTCCTCCTGAGCCAGCGACTGGCAGACTATGGCTGACGAGATTTTAATAAGGCACTCTGGCCTGAAGGGATTCTTTAACCTCAATAACGAGGTTCATGTCCCTTCAGGATGAATCCTAATGCATTGGTTAAGCTGTAATTCAGCAGCGTTTGATGGAATTGCGTATACCTGCTGGCACTCACCTGTGTGTAAATCTGCTGTGTTAGCTTAATATGGGCCAACAGTCATTCATTTGAACAAGTTTTTGATTTATGTACTTTACCCCAACAGCAAAAAATTAAAAAAAATGTTAATGTGTAGTGATTTCTTGGTTTGCGGTGGCAAATCTGTGTCAAATCAAATATGCAAGTTTTCAACTGTTTACAACTCTTGACTAATTAAACAATGCATGGACCTGCACCCATTTTTTTTATACTGTGCCCTGTGGAAAAAAAACAAAAATCATAAATACCTAGAGACGATTCCTATATTATAAACAAATTTAAATAGACAGTGTCATCTTACTGGAGGTTTCTGCTTTTGTGAAAGTCATACGGATTTGGAATTACATGAGCTGAAGTGAATGATCACAGTATAGAGAAATTTTCATTTTGGGGAACTATATATTCTTTAAGACTTTCAAAATTCAGGAAAATAAACTATTCTGAAGAGGAAAAAAAAATCAGCAACAGGCCACAGTCAGAGTGGATAGTGAAGACAAATGAGCATGTCCAAAGTATAGCCATATCAAACTTAAGGAGCGGGACACTAGCGAACATGCCTATAAAAATACAGAAATCTGACAAGCGAGAAACACGTGAAGTACTGCAGCAAAATCAGAATCACTGAAGTGTTATAAACCATCAATCAAGTTGGCTGTTGGGAAACACACACGCTCCATTTGGAGATTAGATGCAGTGGTTGCAATAAAACATCTCTCTGGAGGACTGAACTCTACCATGACCTAATGAAGGAGAGAAAGTGGGACATTGAGATACAGAAAGCAATTCATTTATGAGAAATGACTCCGATGGTTTAGTGTTGGCTGCTGGGCACGCCCTTTTACTGACCAGCCCATAGTTCTTACATCAGTATGGTGTAATCATCGACAGGAAAAAGCTCATTCATTAAGGTTGCGCTAAGAATTCAATCAATCAAAATGATTCATATTTTTGGCCAGTTCTGTCATGCTAGCACCCAATGCAGGACTCACATCTTGCACTGCTTTTATACTTTTTGCAATTCCGTTTGGTGCTACAAGTAGCAACTGCAGTTCTACAGATTTTTTTAAAGCTTTGGGTTGCAAACATGCACCATTAATGCCAAATGCATGTTTTATTTATTTAGAATCCAGTAGGTTCAGTAGACGCAGTATTCCCTGCAGTACAATGTCTACTGCTGAAGGCAGGACGCACACATGGTTGGATGCGTATATGCACATTACACAAACACTCTTCACATGCATACAAATGTGAAGAAAAAAATGTGCCGCACCCAAAACTGAGTCATATATTACTGGAAATGTATTTAAATTAAAAATAAATAAATTGGACTATTTATTAACATAAATACATGGTTGTGGGACCAAATATCACATAAAAAAATGTTCACAAACTCATACAAACATTTCTCCCCCACCCTCACATAACATCATGAGTCTGAGCTCATTTACAGGCCTCAGGATGTCCCTCATCGCCTCTATAAACAAGTTACAAAAAACTCCACTGTTCATGGTTGACTGTAGACATCTCAAATCGGCTCCTGTGAGCTCTATGTTGTGATTCCCAGCGTGACTCAGATTGTCTCCCTGCACGATAACCATCCTAACATCTCTCTGCATCTGTCCTGGATATCCAGACATCTGCATTATATCAGCATGTCGCCATGTGAAAATACTGTAGGGGCTGTTGAGACTGTTGGTCCACTTGTGGATACTTCCTAAACTCTCTCACACTGGGGAGGGTCCAAACCTTTTTCTGATAGTAGAGAATCTTAAACTCAGTGGGGAGAGTCTAAACTCTCTCCCACTGGCAAGAGGGTTCCCTTCACATTTAGTTTTTTTTGTAATCAGGAATTTTAGGACTGTGCCTGTTCATTTCCCAGCAAATGAAACTCTTTCCCTTTCAGACTTAGAATTGGTGCCTAATGCTTTAAGTATTTAGTAAATGAGGAGTAGTGATTGTCTCCGAGAGATGTGGAATGCAACGTGAGAGTGCATAAGCAATGCCTGAAGAACACTGGAAAAGAAATAGCTACTGAAATGGCCCACATTGCAGAATTCTAATTAACATACCCAGTCTGGGAGCTCAGTTTTTGACATTCCCAACCAATGAGATGCTTACCTGGTTGTCTTGGCGACAGGTGGCCTATCAGGTTTGGGAGAGCCAGTGGTGCTGGTCTTAGTGGTGGACGCAGTGGCGGGTCTTGGAGCTGAAGCTGGAGCTGTAGAGAAGGATGGTGCGAAGAGTGTTTGAGAGCATTAAAACAAGAAGACAGATACAGACAGTTCATTTTAAATTTTGATATGCTACATCAGAATTTCTCTCATGGAAGTCTAAAGGAGTTGGAGACCCCTGTCCTACATTGAATTAATGCTGTAATCCAGTGGTTCCCAACCACTCTTCTGAAGACATGCAAAATGTGCAGTGTTGGGGGTAGGAACCACTGCTGTAATCAACAAGCTCAGATGATGCTTTTGACTTACCTGTAGTTTTTGGTTTAGACTTCAGACCATTGGCTGGTGCAGCGGGGGCTTTCTTGATGGGCTGTGCGGCCCCTGTTGTTTTCACGCCATTGGCTGGAGCACTGGCAGGTCTCGCCGTCCCCACCGGCTTTTTCTCAGCCAGCTTGGTTGGGGTCTTGGTTGTGGGTGCAGAAGTAGAGCTAATTGTTTTTTTAGTGGCAGCAGTGTTTGAGGTTTTCTTCTCCAGGCCTGCTGTGGTGGTCTTTTTTGTGACGCCATTAGCTTGCGACTTCTGTGCCCCGTTTGTCAGGCGGCTTTGGCCAGTGGTGGGACGGGAGCTGGTTGTAGATGCCTTGGTTCCAGCGGTGGTTGTCTTTGTTTTGGCAGGAGACTTCGTCTTAGCTTTGGGATCCACGGGCTTGTCCTTTTCGGTCTTGTTGGTTGCCTCTGTTTGCTGCGGTTCACCTTCTGTTTGCGTTGCAGGCAAAGCCTGTTCCTGAGCTTCACCCACTGGCACCACCTCGACTGCAGGACCTGCGTTTAATGCTTCCATTGGCTCCATTGCTGCCGTGTCAACACCATCCGGTTTCATCTTGTCCTAGTCCTGGAGGTCCGTCTCAGCAGAAGAGGAATTAGGAACCCAGGAGTCCACTAGTTGGAGTCTACTGCTATCAGATGGTTATGGCTGACCTGAAAACAAGAGCAACAAGAGTTGTAGTCTGATCAGAGACCTCAGACAATAAACAAACAAACAACAAGTCTGAACAAGAAAGAAGTCGGTACCCCCTCTCACTGGCAGACAGACCTAAGAGAACAATCAGATAAAGAATCAGGTCTTAGAGAAACTGGCTAAAAAAGAGATTAAGAATGAAGTAAAGAGCGTGCTGTGCCGAGGGAAAACAACAGCTGATTCAGAGCTCAGAGCTTGTGGATTTGTTTAAACTGTAACCAAACTGAATTAAAACCACACAAGAAGTAGTTGCCAGCTATTAGTAGTGATGGTTGGTGTAAGATTACAGTTGTCATTAATACAGTTTTACAGATTAAAATGCCGTTTTTCACTTGGCAAGACATCTTTCACAAGATTATTTTGGTGCCATTTCATGTATAAAAAATATCTTGGTTTTCAAAACCCTTTGGGGGAATTTCTAATTGCTAACTACTAGCAAAGCAGCAATGCCAGATGCATTACCCACAATGCCTTACTGAAGCAGATGTTGTTTGCATGATTTAAGAGCAGTGGCTCCACCGCAAAGTTCATACAGTGGAAGAGGCCAACGAGAGGAAGTGGCTTGGCTCAAGGGAGCATGGGAAAAAAATAATAGAGTCAGTCGATCATTGAAAACGCACACTCATAAAGCGGACGTCAGTGTCACTGGACACCTCATCCACATTATATTCCAGAGCTGTAAAATCTCCCTGACTCTTTCTGAGGTCGACATTCATTCTTCCACCCCTCAGACTCATTCTGCCCATTACAAAATCTCCTCAGTTAGTCCTCACACAGATGGTCCAGGCAGCTGAGCATCCAAAATTAGAGAAAATGGGGGGAGGGGGACAGAGCGAGTGATGGAAAAAAGAGAGAAAGCCCGGGAGAAAAGAACCCATTACATATATGCTGCCAGATATGAACAAAAAAGATATGAGAAGATATATTGTCTTGGACAGAGATCTAGCTATCTATGGCCATCGGTTACTGATAGGAATTGTGCACTTGAGAACATTAACAATGACCACATTGACTTGCAAACAACTGTTCCCATGGCAAATAAACAATAGTATTTGTATCAAATGGGGGAACTCTGGACACTTAGGGTGTTTTCAGACCTGCAGATCATTTGCTCCATACCGAAACAGACACAAATTGTTACAGTTTCTTCTTGGTTCAGTTCGGTTTTCAACCATGATAACTAATGTGCTCAAAATCAGACAATGCTTGCATTTTATGTCACGCATTCCCATTATGAATCACGATTCAAGCTTGGTTCGTTGGTCTGTTGGGTTGGATTTCTTTCTCACCACAATTGAACAAGAGTTTATTTTCAATCAGGCTGAGATACCTCATTCAGGTGATCTCGAACTGTTTATTTTGGTGTGGATTCAAGTGCAATTGCTGTATTTATATGTGCCTAAATGAACCAAAGGGAGAAAATGTGCCAATATCTGAAACAGACAGGTCAGATGTGAAAAGTTATGGTACACAATACCTGCTTAGTTTTAAATTACGCAGTCAAAAAAATGAACAATACGGTCAGATTAAATAACGCACTAGTTAGTAATGAAGAATATCAAAGATTTTAGTCTTTTAGACAAACACAACCACATGAAACATCACTTCCACTTCATAGACCTCAAGGGCTGTTTTCTCTTATGAAGAACAACTCCTCTAGATCACATCTCTCTATTTTAATATTGGTTGTAAATACAGGCTTTGTTGCATCTGCTCAACCCCTCCTGGCTTTTTTCTCTTGCTACTGATCCTGTTTAGAATGATAGATGAGAATCGGCCTGTGAGAATGTCAGGTGGTGGAGAGCTGAGGAGATTAGAGGGGGTAAAACAGCCTTGTTCTGAGAGGAAAACACACACACAGTCACACGGCCTTACGACCTTAATGATCCTGCTGAGTGATATAGACTGCTTCCTCTGCATGTAAACAACAGTGACCGGGGGGGGGGGGGGGTCAGAGGCCTATGGTGTCCATCTAATTCTGGGGGGAGGATCTGACCTCTGCTGACTTCTGATTACCTCTATTCTACAGAGTAGCTGATGACGACAGGCATATATGAAAAAAAACATATGCAAATTAAATAAAGTTTGAGGGAAGTGGACAGGGGGAAATGCATTTACATGAATCTGAAGATATTTGAACTAGAGATATTTTTAGAGCCCTAGCTTTAATTTTTATTATATAAAATAACCTTATTTTATGTTAACTTAAATCATATTTATTTTTATTATCCCTCATTAACTCTTGTTTTTATTGAAAAACATACAGTTCCTGCAACCTCACAAAATAAACCATGGCTAATTGCGATAATTTAATATATGTCAGTATTCCCAGTTTGTGTTTGAAAATCACCAGATTTGTCATAATTATATACTTAGAGAGCACAAGATGGAGAAAACCAGAAATGTTAGGTGTAGAGGCTTTGTGACCTTACAAACATAAGACCCATCGTACCTTCAAACCTTCTTACCCACAAACCTTCTTACTGGCACTCCGTCACTCTCAGGGACGAACCTGCACACGCCTAATGCTTAATGCCTCATCCAATTATTGTAACCAATCCTGGTGCAGGAGCCTAATGCTCCTGAAGGGATGACTCTGCGAAGCACTCATCCTCCAAAGACCCACATATGATGTAAACAAACACTGCAGACGCGTCGCATACCTTCTAGAAGCAGTATTTTTGGCAGGTCTCCAGCGACGGTGCATCAGAGTCTTTAAATTGTCCCAATGCAAAACCACTGATCACCCCCATGCTAATGGGGTCATTGTAGCAGCAAAATGCACGTTGGCCTCTTTCTCCGAGGAGCAAGCGCAACACGGCCTTGTGCATGCATGCATGCATAAATGCATATCTAAGTACTGCATTGTGCCTTAAAAAGTCCCCCGTGTGCAATGCTTGCTTCTCACAATCAGCTAACCACTGCGGCACAGCAGGTGCTAACAGGCTAATGCCATCTTAGCTTTAGTCGGTCAGGGCCAAACCGACATGTCTAATAACTGGAGAACAAGAAAACAAACAAACTGCACAATCTCAATGGCTCACTATAGGAAATCGTTTTTTCCCTCTAAATTGCAATCAATGGAGAGATTGTGCTGGGAGGAAGCACAGATTTGTACACCACAGAGATGCTGCATAAATCGCATGGCTTCTCCCGGGCCGTTTGCATGCACTGGGAATGCCGTTGTTGGCCTCTGATTTGGCATTTGGTCAGAGGACTGACTAATTAGCGGTAATTTGTATCAGTTTAAGATTTCACATATTAAGTCTGTCTGGCCAATACTCCATTGTGTTCCGCAGAGGTGATGCACACTCAAGAAATATTTATCAAATATTTGTATTTATGCATGTCTGATATGCAGCACATTAATCTTGGATTACACATTAATCTGTAATCTAAATGAAATTTTATATGCAATTCAAAAACTTAAATTTTAAACTCAGGCCTAAATACATTGAGCTAACAAAAGCCTGAGGCGCATTGCAATGAAACATCTTTATGCACCCTTCCACACCCCCCTTTGCTTGTACCCTCCGGAGGCTCCAGAAGTTTCCCTCCACCCCCATCTCTCACTCTAAAACAAGTGAACACTGGATCTATTCAGCGTCAGCGACGACCACCACCACAAAGAGAGGGCCACCGGGACTCACAGTTTGCTGGTTGAGGAAGAAACACACTGCTGTGCTGCTCTGCAGGGGAAAAGGTCAACAAGTTTGAGGCACCTGATTCTCAACCCTCAGAATAAAACAAGAATAAACCACACCTTAGGTCCATAAACTAATAAAATCCATTATAAACCACATCAGTGAGGAACCGAATACAGCTATAAATTGATTTGCAGTGCACATTAGTGGTGAATATTAGAGCCCGACCGATATATCGTTTAGCCGATATTATCGGCCGAATATGTCGCCGATATGAACATTTTATTTTACAGAACATATAACGCAGATTAAAAGCTTCTGAATGGTGTAATTACTTAGTTTGTCCACTAAGTTTGTCCGCACTCCATTGTTTGCTACTGGCGATCCAGGTCAGTGTTGTGTAGAGATGAGCTCAAACTTCACCCAAGTCCGCTGCTTCAAATTATCCACCCGCCACCCGCCACCCACCCCCACCTATATTTGATCGTCACATTACAATGATTCTAATTCTTAGTTTGCATGATGATATGATGAATGGATGGCTCATTTTTAACAACAGATTCAGTGACGTTAGAGACTAGAGCTGATCTGTGCATCACGGCATGCGTCTGCAGCACATTAAAGCCTGTGTACGGCCACCAGAGCTGATCGCGGCTGGACTGGTGTTTATACCGGCCACGCCGCGGCCCAGAACTCATGCTTATCACATCGGTCACATCACATCACGCGTCCAGTGTATGTTGTCTACACTAGATGCAGTAAACTGATGCCTCGTTCTATTTATGACGTGCTGACACAAAGTTAAAATTATTTTCAACGGTCGCTTTGTCGCGTCCTGTTGCGGCGCGGACACGGTGTCAGCATAGTTTGTCAGTACAGTCTAGTGGTTCAACGGATCACAAATCTCACGGTTTGGATCACATTACAGTTTTTGACCCACGGATCAGATCATTTTTCGGATCAGCAAGAAAAGAAAAATATTTCAATTTAACTTGCTTTCCATTTATTACTTAAAGCGAAGTACTTATTTGATACCACAGCAAATACTACTAGATTAACTAAGAAAGTTTAAACATGATTAAAGAGACAAGAGAACAGCCAGTAAAAATAAGAACAAATACACAAATTACAAGCATAGATAAATACAACAGAAGATGTTACAAATAAAATAAGGTTGGTAGTATTCAAATACAGAAATGTAGTAATTAGGGAAAATAACACTGCATAGTGTTCACTGTTCACTGTTGTTTGATGATCATTAATGACAACCGCAGTATTTATAGGTCGCTGTCCCTTTAAGACTTGATGCACGGATC